TTAATGAACAACACAAAAATATAGCAATCACGATGGATAAGGAAGAGAATGGAAAACTCAACTATTTGGATCTAACTATTAAAATAAACAAGACCACCAACAGACTGGAATACGAGATATACAGAAAGCCCACAGCGACCGACACAGTAATACATGAAACCTCTAACCACCCACAACAACACAAAAACGCAGCATATAGACAATTATTAACTAGACTTGAGCGAACCCCATTAACTAAGGAAGCACACAGGAGATAGCTAGACACAATATATGCTATCGCCAGAAACAATGGATACAAATAACGGATTTCTATCTGCCGGCACAAGCAAGAAACCTAATACCTGCTAAATAACGGAACACAAACCGACGCAATCATGAAAACCAAGAAAATAAAAGTAACGGATTTCTATCCGCCGGCGAATACAAGCAACCAAAAAGCACCTACGTGTGAGATAATGAAACAAAAGCGGTCGCACCTAGATGGGTATGCATGACCTAATGACAGTTAAAACAGATAGTAACACGAATACATAAAAAGCGGAAGGAAACACGAACTATTCAGAACGAAAAATGACACTGAAGATGGCACAACGCCGAAACCGGTAGTCTCCAAACCAAATTTGACAAGGGATGACGGAAAATCGTTCCACAATACATCATACTCCTACCCTGTCGGAAACAAACAACCAAAAAGAAAAAAGAATTGGTACTGAATCACATTCATTCCTGCATTACTGGTAAAGCAAAAATGAATGCCCCACTTTTCTAGGACATCGCGGTGAGGGGGAAAATGTATTTTCGAATGTGAAAAAAGCTGTTTTACTGATTACACAGGCCAAAAAAAACGAAAAAAAAATGTTGGTGCGTCAAATGTTAAAGCTATTTTTGATAGACTTTTTTGTGCTGATTACGAATCCGCAAGTACAAAGGATCCAACACGTACAGCTTTTGAGAAAATCGAGGTCAAAGTGTCAAAAAATCGGGCTTTTGCAATATTTGAGAAGCTCTAGCAAAGAGTAAAAAGGTGATAGAACCTTCCACTTAGGCCTAGATTAAAGCAAGAACCCTCGACTACTATCCTTGAAAATACCATTCCTGCAAATTGAATTTATGGTCACTTATAGTCATTTATTGAGCAGTAAAATTTGACTTTTGGCGAAGTTTGAGTCCCTGCCGCAATTAAACAAAAGGTGATAGAACCTTCCACTTAAGCTTAAATTAAGGCTTGAACTTTCGACTACAATCCCTAAAAATACCATCTCTTCGCCATGACCCTAAGATAACTTATAGTCCTTTATTGAACAGCAAAAAAAAACTCAGGGGCAGTAGCCTAGGGTTCTAGCTTTAAGTTAAGCCTAAGTGGAAGGTTCTACCACATTTTTACTCTTTGCTCGAGCTTCTCAAATATTGAAAAAAAACCCGATTTTTTGACACTTTGACCACGATTTTCTCAAAATCTGTACGTGATGGAATCTTTATAATTACGGATTCGTAATCAGTTAAAAAAAGTCTATCAAAAACAGATTTAACATTTGCCGCCCCAAATCATACATTACATTTTCCCACTGAGTAATGTGGTCCAATGTTATGAGGTAACATACATAAAAATATATTCCGATGAATTGATAACCTCCTTTTGAAGTTGGTTAAAAAGAGAAAAATTAATAAGGTAAATTATTATTATTAAATTTACATTTCAAATAATCTCCCCTAAATTATGCTCTGACTACGCCCATGAATCCATGTGCTGTTCTTTAGAATTCATTGTTCTAAGAGAAATTTAAGCGACAGGTCTCGTAGTTTCGATATACGCTTAACCTAAACTGAAATAATTTAAACATTTTACGCTTGGATTAAAACTTAAATTAATTTTATTACGTACTACTATAAGCGACGTGATCAATAAATACTTGGGTAATCACACAAAATCTAAGCTGTTTTACTTATTGCTCGTAATCAAATACTACGTTTATGCGTACGCTAATTCACGAATTCATTTCATGAATTTGGGTTAAAATTGGCTGCATTAACACCATTTCTGAATTCAGTTACACACGAAAGTTATGAATTCGGCATCATTTCATGAAATCGTGAAGTGCAAGTCCGGCAACGCCAGGTTTCACAAACAGCTGTTTACTAGGGTTATGATGTTTTTCGATTAAAAAGCTTGAGTGGCATAACCATGATTTAAAACACTGGAAAAGTTATGTGGAATCGTTGAAATATAAAATAAATTCAAATAGAATAAACTGAAAATATATTATCACCAATTTAAATATAATATGGCTCATTGCCTGGTACCAACGACTTTTGCAAATTCTAGAGGAGGCCAAGAAAGTCACAACCCTACTGTTTAGTTTCTCGCCAGTCTATTGCCACATTTTCAAGACACTTTATTTCATGAATTCGCGAACTATCATTTTTGAATTAATTCAATGAAGAATTCATGAATTCTGTTACATAAACGTGGTAAAAATCAGACTTAATCCAGGGCGTTTGAAAACGATTTTCTCCTCGACAATGGTGTAATAAATGGTTCTTTCCCTAACAATCCGGACCGGATCCGGTAATTAGAGAATAAGCGAAAGGGTTGCTCTCAAAAATGGAACACAATCCAGAAGTACGGGAACGCAAAAAAAAAAATATCGGGCCCAGAATTTGAGAAACAGCTGATTCGGGTTGTTTTTGTTTTTGTCACCTAAATGCAAACTCGTGGAAATTGAATTTTTATTCCACAAATTTGGTTTTAAGTAATAAAAATACATTCACTATTCCTTAAAAGCACCAAGTAAATGCAGGCAACATGTAAACACAAAACAGCTGATATGCACTTTGACACTTTATCCATTTTTACCTGGAGAAAAGGTCCGGGCTGTTTCGGGCAGGAAGAAGAAGACACTTACGATCCAATACGTCACAATTTTCGCTCTCTATAACCCATTTTGTTGAGAACGAAAATGATTTCTGGGCTATTTTGGGCACCCGCGGGATCCCGCGTTGCGTACGGGAAAAAACTTAATAACAAGGTATTGTCAGTAACTTAACCTCAGTTTTTGGGTAGGTCTATTCCGGTCACGCATTTTAAAGAGGTAGAAAAGGTACTAATTATTTACTACTTTTAATCCGTTTGTGCATACTATTTCAAATTTTATGTAGAAAAATGTATAATTACAGCCTTATAAGCCTGAATATATGAAATTTAAGCTTATTTTGTATGGAAGGCTTAGCCAATATAGTTATGTTGGCTAAGGGCCGGTTACTCAATGTCTGGTTAACACTAATCTGCGTTATCGACGTTACCGACTCCCTGTTATATGCATGGAGTCGAAGACGTCGATAACGATGTTTAACCGCAGATTAGTGTTAACCAGACATTGAGTAACCTAAGGGCCGGTTGTTCAATGTCTGATTAGCACAAATCGGAGGTAGAAGCTGCGGTTAGATACAACGACTGCTTTATCGATCACATGTTATACGCATGATGTCGAAATCGTCGATAATGATGTCTAACCGGCAAGTAGTGATAACCAGGTTAACACTAATCTGCGGTTAAACATCGTTATCGACGTCTTCGACTCCATGCATACAACAGGGAGTCGGTAACGTCGATAACTATGTTTAACGGGAGATTAGCGTTAACCAGACATTGAGTAACCGGCCCTAAGTCTTCCATGCAAAATAAGCTAATAGCTTAAATTTGTCGTCAAATAAAACACGCCTATTGTAACTTATAAACTTATTATTGCACCATGATACATACTACAGTGAGTTAGGTATTTGCAAATAGCTTACGTATAAACGTAGTAACAGTCATATGTGTTATAGGAGATTCCGGGTAGCCAATTGAGCCATGGCTCATGACACCGCTACCACATGAACAAGAACGCTCAGCAAGGTACAGGTACAATGGGACACTTTGTAAAGCGGGTGTGGTCCGCCGTATTTTTCTAATTTTAGTAAAATAAAAATTTTTTGATGCAAGCTTATATTTTCGGGGCTAAAGAGGGGCGAAAGGGGAATTTTCGAAAATTTAGAAGGCTATATTTCGAAAAATTCTTAACCTAATTTCAAAAAACTGGTATCGTTGGAAAGGTAAATAAAATTCCCTTTTTCTAATAGGCACATTTATATACTTCATTTGCATAAATTTTAAGAAAAATCATCTAATATCAAAATATATTTTTTGATAAAACAAAACCAATTTTACTAAAAAACATGTGTAATTAACGATACCCAAACCATAACAGTTAAATGGAGCACAAAAACAGCATAAATTTACCTTTCATTTAACATATAATTCTATTTAGTTAGATTTAAATACCGTGAGTAATAATCTCATTGATGAAGAGAGAAATAACCATACTGATGCCTATGATAGCGAATATGCTCGATAGTTTTGAAAAACTATCGATAGTAAAAAAAAAACAAAACCATCAATAGTATCGATAGTTTGCCACCACTGAAATGAGGTATCTATTTCGGACCACTGAAATATTAGATTCGATATAGAAGCCCAAAGGGCCCTGTCTCACGATCAATATGGATCGCGATCCAGTATCGTGATCCATATTGATGCATGATGCTCCACTCTCTGCTATGCTACACCTTCAATATTTATCGCGTCATTATTTTCAAACTTTTGAACTGTGCAAGTCGTTTTTAAATAAGAAAAATACAAGAAAATTCAAAAAGAGCGTGTTTAGCCATATTACTGGCATTTTCATTAAAAAAAAAGAAACAAAGAGGAAGTATTGGAGTCGAAGATGGTACCTGGAGCGGCATAGGTACACTCATTTGAGATTATTGGATTCGATTCGACTTTGCAAGGAATTAAGCGACTACGAAAATTACTTTCGGATCTCCACTGAAAGTTTCGACCATATTCTTGAATTAATCAGCCCATATATAACTAAACAAGATACAGTTATGAGAGCTGCAATTTCGCCAAAAGAAAAACTGGCGGTGACTTTGCATTATTTAGCAACAGGAAGGTATGTACCCAAGTCTAATGATATTTGTTCACAACTTATTGTGATTATTTTACAGCTACTTTAAGCAGGTGCGGTATACAGCGATTATGTCGCGGCAAGCAATAAGCGAAGCGATCATGGATTCATGTGAAGCTTTGATATACGCTCTTCGAAACTGCATTAAAGTAAGTGTACTAAATGATACACATGTACATATGGTATTTTGTTATAATTTATTCAGAAATCTGTGCAAATAAATACATATGATTTATGTAATAATTTTAGTTGCCAGGGAATGATGAAAGAGATCTTAGTGAGTATTCCTCTGTGCTTTTTATTTCTTCAGTGGCACCTACTTCAGTATTGTATATTAGCATTGCTTGGCCACTTGGAGGCAATTGCGAGGAAAAACTAGATTGCGAAGATAGAATAGGAGACGGAGTATGTGGGTAGTTAGGTGTTATATATTCACTCTGCAGAGGCATTCCAAAATTGGAGTCTGGTGAAGGTGTTGGCGGTGGTACATAAATAGGTGGCGGTCTTTGGACTCGAATAGCTTTAATATCTGGTTGCGGTGATGATTCAGAGAAACGTGGTAATGGTGGTAATTGATTATACATTGTGGGTTGTGGTGTCGGAGCTGATGACACATCCGTGTTGCAAGCGTCTGGATATACAATTATTTTAACAGAGTTACGTCTCAAGTTACCCAGTTCTGCTTCAAATAAAATATCACTAATTCATTTTTCAGCTAGCATACGCTGCGTTGGATTTAGATGCTCTAATTTTTCACTCCAGTATAATGCCGTTGCGTTTATGTTTGTAGAACTTTGGGGTGCTATTGTCTGCACATGCCTTTTCAATTAGCTGGTTTTGTTTACCCACTGCACAATTTTTTTTGTTTTTCCGAGGAGGAGCCAACTCGCTAATAGATGAAAAGGAAGTGTTAGATAAGTCCTCTCTATTTGTCTGCTCCTCAACTTGCACCAATTCGTCCACATTTTGCGATTCTACCTGGTTCTGAAAGAAAGAAAATTATTGTTAATTAATAAAATTGATTTTAAATCTTTACATTTATGCCCGTTTGCACCAATCAATTTTAAAATTATCAGCCTGTTAAAATTTAAAATGATAAAATGTAGTTCGGAAAATTTGTCATTTTAAATTTTAACGGTCTGATAAATTTTAAAATTGATTGGTGAAACTGAGAGTTAATTTTATATTTTATTTATAAAATGGATTTCAAATTTCTATTTTTAGATGCCTAGTACAGCAGAAGAGTGGAGAAGTGTTTCTGATGAATTTCGTGTATTACATAATTTTTATAACTGCATCGGCGCAGTTGATGGGAAACACGTAAAAATAAAGCGTCCAAATGGTTCGGGAGCGCTATATTATAACTATAAAGGAACATACAGTATCGTTCTTATGGCTATTGCGAATGCTAAAAAGGAATTTGTCATGGTTGATATTGGATGCAATGGACGCGTGTCTGATGGTGGTGTCTTGTTTTACACTAAATTCTCGGAGCGTTTGCAACAAAATCGTTTAAATATACCGGAATGGACACCATTGCCAAACACCTCGGAATCATTCCCACATGTTTTTATAGGAGACGAAGCTTTCGCGCTAGGCCCTAACATTATGAAGCCTTATCCTCAAAAAAGAGTATCACAAGAAGAGCAATTGTTTAATAAACGGTTATCGAAGGCTAGATGTGTCATTGAGTGTGCGTTTGGTATCCTCGCCAATAAATTTGGAGTTTTCCAGAAAGCCATAAGTCTCAGCCCGCAGAAAGATTCTAATTATCAGGCACCAAATTCCAATGAGTATAATTTTCAATTAACCACCGTACAAAGCAGTTCGGCGCGAAATTCAACAAGATGTGCCAAAACTATAAGAGACAAATTTTGCAAATATTACAATGACGAATATAGATGCTAACTTTCGCCACTCAATTTTTATCACTTATGTATATGAAAAAAAAGAATAATAAAAGTTTTCACTTAAAACAACAGACAATCTACATACTACTTTCTTTTCTTTCCACCTTTATAGCTAGGTATTCACTAGAGTATGAGTTGAATTCAAGGAAATCTTTAAAACAAATTTACTAACCAGGTCAACAGGCTTCTCATTTTTATTTAAAAAGTGAAGAGCGTTAAATATCCAAGACTTTGGAATATAAACGTCTTCTGTACCAGCTCCGGAGCGCTTGGAGTCAATAATTTTTTTGAATTCCTTGCGATAATTTGATCGTAAAGAATTTATTTTTTTTCGGACATCACCTACAGTGGCGTTATCATTAATTTTTTTTAAGATTAGTAATAATTTCTCATGTCTGGCCGTTCTTTTTATTTTATTCATGTAGCTTTTGGACGAAGGATCCCACAATTCCGGCATACTTTCCAATTGTAGGATAAACTCCTTCAAACACCTTTGGTCATTCGTTAATCCCAACACCGCCGGCTGGATATGTGCGCTTTCGTCGTCCGACATTATTAAAAATTACCACTGCCAAATAAATAATTAATCCAATAATTAACGGTTCGCCTTTAATACACACGTATTGAAGTATCGGGAACGAAATATGCTACACGTTCAATATTTATTGACAGTACTGCGATCCGCGATCCAGATTTCAAAATTTCTAGAAATTTTGCGATATGGATCACGATCCATCAATATTGCATGCTACACAGTCAATAAATATCGCGATACTTGGATCACGTCAATAAATATTGATCGTGAGACATGGCCCAAAGAGTAACATACCATGATTACAGAAATCGCAGAAAAACCAACTGGGAACTCTTTCGCCTCTACATAGAGCGGGAAGTGAATAATTCTACGGCACCAATTGCATCCAAAAATGGTGCTACACCCTATCTCTTAAGTTGGGCTAAATGACACCAGTGTACGAAATTTCATTATCATCGACTGAGTAGTTAAAGCATAACAAAAAAACTTACCTTCGTATTTATAATATTAGTAAGGAGTATCGGTAATTCTCTAGTATAGCGTAACAACCGCTTAAAAAGGTCCGGGAGGGGTACCAAACGACGTTTCGGCCCCCCTATTAACAGTCCGGAGGGGGAGGGCTAATATTATTTGCCATTTAAAAGTTATAAACAAAAAACTGTTTTTTTAATTTCGTTGTTTTCTATGAGCGATTACCACGTCAAAAATGCACTAAATCACCAGTTTCCACTTTTAAAACACGACTTAGGGCCGGTTACTCAATGTCTGGTTAACACTAATCTGCGGTTAAACATAGTTATCGACGTCACCGACTCCCTCTTGTATGCATGGGCTCGAAGACGTCGATAACGATGTTTAACCGCAGATTAGTGTTAACCAGACATTGAGTAACCGGCCCTTAAACGTCGCCGGTTATTGTTTTATGCAAACAAAATCATTTACATATTCAAAACAGAGTAAACAAACTTGCGCCTGCCAAAATTATTATAACCTCAAATCGCTGGTATTGCCACTTTATTTCACATTTCATTTGCGCTATTACCCTCGGTTTACACTATACACTTCTTCCTCTTTTTTTACTTTCACCTAAATAAAATATTCTAACCAAAATATAATAGCGAATTTCGCTATACCATGGCAGCGCTATTTTTGTGGTTTACAGTTATTTAAACTGAAATTAAAAGTAAGCGGCATGGAGTGCCACAAGTGCGATTTTACCATTGCAACCTTTCATTATTTATGGAAGTATTGATTTTAATGGAAAAAGCGCCGCAGGCGAAAATTTTAAATAAAATATCGCGCGATTTTTTATTAAAAATTTTCATTATTTATCGAAGTACTGATTTTTATGGAAAAAGCGCCGCGCGATTTTTTATTAAAAATTTTCATTACTTATATATATAATATATATATCAAACGAAAGAAGATACCGAAAAGCATTGAACACTGCACTCCCCTTGTAGGGAAAAGTGAATTATTACGAAATACTAATATAGTGGCAGTACTATAGCTACTTTGGAATCTCGCGTTTCAGTTCGCAAAGATTGCCAACTTCTTTTTAGTAACAAAATAATCTATCTTAGGTTGATAAAACTATGTGTTTGTTTAATAATTAAGTCAAATTATATATTTTAATAGTGTTTAAAAAGTGAGAGCAGGTGATTTAGTGAATCTTTGTCGGGGTAATTGCCCATACAAAACAACGAGATTTAAAAAAGTTTTTTGTTTATAACTTTTAAATGGTTAATAATATTAGCCTCCCTCCGGATTGTTAATACGGGGACCGAAACGCGTCGATTGGTGCCCCTCCCGACGTTTCCGGATCTTTTTTAGCGGTTGTTACCCTGTACTAGAGAATTACCGGATTATCCCGGACTGACCATTAAAATAATTTTTAAAGGTCAGCATTTTTTACACAGACCCAAATACACAAACACAAAAAATTACACCCGGGCGTATACATTTTTTGCCTGTGATTGGTTGTGTTCAACAAAAAACCATTATTAAATAAAAAGGTACGTGGTGTTTTCTCAAAACGACATTTTAGAAATGTTAAGTGGCACGTTGTCCTATAACATAGAATTCTTCTTCTGAAGTAAATAAGTATATCGTCACCTGAAATGCAAAAAGACGTAACAACATCGTAAATGAAATAGAAAAAATTGGGACTAATATCTTTTTTTCATAAAATGATGTGGAGAGTTGTAGTTCGATTAAATCCAACATATAAATCAAAAAGTGAAGCTAGAATTTTTTATTAGTTATGACTTTTTGCATTTCAACGATGATGTTTGTTACGTCCTTTTGCATTTCAGGACACGATATGTATATATTTTATACACAGACAAAGTGCCGCCTAATGACTATCACAAGAAAATTCACGATTTTTATAAAACACGCGAATTTCAGTTACAGTAGGGAGCTGCCTTTCTTCCCGTATTTAACTGGCCCATTTGTTTAATATCTCTAGCTTTAGGTCAGAGAGCTTCACCTGAAATATTCTGCTGATTTAAGCGAGTAAATTACTCATTTAAACCATTGGTTTTGCTATAAATAAATATTCACATATATGAATAGTATTAACGAAGGTATAGAAAACAGATTTAATGGTTCAAATGCTTTGTGACGGCAACCAGTACGCAAAAAATCGCCATCTGAAAATCATATATAGAGATCTTACAAAAAATATTTTTCGATACACACTAAACCCGTAAAAGTCAATTTACAGACTTATTTCAAAATTTTAATTTTGTGGGAAAACGCAATCAAAGTTTGATCAATTAATACAGTTGATATACCAAAATATAGATGGGGAGACACATACTATCAGCTATGTCGTGGAATCCGATGTTCTCCTTATCGGATTTGAATCCGTCAACTTTTCTCGTTAAGTGTCGCGAAATCCGATCTTATCAATTTTTATGTTCGAAAATTGTGTTTATCGGTTTTGGCTGTCGCAGAATCCAAGTTTGTCGGTTTTGTGATCGGAATTAAAACGGTCATTCAAAGCCTACTATTTTTGCTTATTTGTTTGTGCTATGCATTGAAGTAGCTGGTTATTTTCTTAAAATGTAAGTAAATGTATTATATTTGGTATGAAATTCACTTCCTTTTTAATAATAAAATTATATACATATGTATTTCCAGGGGAAAACATAAGAATAGGGCACAAAATGATATACTCCTGCAATTTATGGAGAAGTACACGGACATCGCCAAGGACTTTACAAAAAAGGATAAACAACTAGTAGACTCCCTTTGGCAGCAACTATCCGAATCACTGTGCTGGCCCGCCTACAAAGGATATAACTGGTTGGAAAAAGGCAATCAACAAAGCGTACTCGTGCATAATGGCCAAACCCTTCGTTACTCTCTAATTTTCTTCTAATTTCAGGTATGGACGGACTGGAAGAGTGAGGTGAAGAAGAAGTTGGAACGCGCACTGGTGGAGGACCCTTCTCCAAGAATACACTGACCCAGACCGAGGAGAGTATTGTGCGTATTTGCGGAATGGTGCAAAGTGTTGAAGGTGTCTCAGGATCAGCACTTGGTCTCGAGGAAGAGTACCTCATATCTAGTGACGATGACATGCCTTCAACTTCTGCGAAACGTCCACGTTTTGAATGTCCGCAAGTTCAAAACCCGACAGCGAAGAAAACCACAAGTGAGCGTCTAAACAAATTTATGCAGTTGGATAAGGAATGGAAGCAGGACGTCCGAAATAAAATGGATGCAATGTTAAAAATTCAACAGGAAGGAAATTAATCGAATAGGCTATTAATTAATGTCGTTAATAACTTAACGCAGGAGTTTACGACCTTTAATGCTAAAATTATTGAATTGCTAGAAAACGTGAAGAGGAGATTCGGAATAACTATAAGACTTGCTGTTGTGAACCTTTTTAATTTCATAAATCGCTAGCTTAGAAAGAAAAGTTGCTAAGTCCCATTTTAAAAATTTTACAGGAGAGGAAAAAATCTTCCTATAGCCATTTTCTTTAACTATTTCGCAAGACTTTGAATCAAACATTTTGCGCGTTTGAAGCACAGCAAAACTCCATAAGAATCAGAAGGATTCAATATTTATTAAAAGATGTCGTATTATTTTCGCCTTATCGGATTTGTGGTGCTTCTTTTGGACTTAGCAAATTTTCCTTTTATTGCTTATGAAGAGGAAAAAATAAAACAAGTACCTTTATAATTTTCGAAACGATGCGTATTCAATTTCTCTAGCATCTTATATCAAGATATGAGTTTTCATAATAAGTGGACTTAGCAACTTTTCACTCTAAGCTAGCGATATGTACCTTCACATTTTGAGTACAAATTAGTTTTATAAGTATTCCCAAGAATGAATGTTTTAGTTTTCTATAATTTTGAAAGAAACTTTTGTAAATGTATATAAATAATACCGAATTATTTACTTGTAGGCACAAACTAGCCAGAATATGTTTCCGTACGGTGTTTTTTTTAAATATTTGCAATGTTTTTTGTACATTTCTTTCGTAAGTTTTTGCATCTAGTGGTATATAAAATAATGATTCAAAGGTTTTACAAAATTTAGGAAAACTCGACAAATTTTCAACTTACTGAACTTTCTAAAACT